GGGATCCGTTGGTAAAAACGGGGGACGGGGGGCAGCAGACATCTCGACAGGCATCAACTCCTATGGGGGGAGCTGCGTAGTGTCAGGGTGCAGGGTCAGGTAGCGATATATATTAGGAATTGACGAACAGGGTAAGCTACGGTCAGGCTATCTACAGGTTCATAGACAAGACGCAGCTCGAAGAGCTGCAGCAGAATCGGCGTTGGCGCAGACAGATATCTCTGTGGGTCACGTGCCTAGTCACGTGCATAGATCACGGGCTGGCACCGTGACATCGGGAATGCTATCTGTATGTATCTATTCTTGTGAATAATGAGGGTGACTACACCTTTTAATTGACATACTTGATGTGCGTAGCTCTCGTGTATGTATTATTATCCAAGACGATACCTTGTTCCTGAATGCTTGCAGTCCAGGCTTCTGAAAGCGTCTCAATGACTAGCAGTGGAAAGTCGCCACTGCAGGTAGATCTGGATGTGATATCGTTGAAAGTATGCATACGTGACGAGAAGTGGAGCTTGCGAGTGGTGGATGGGGTGCAGACACAAAGATCAACAATGTCTTCTATGGTGATCCCCAAATGGCGAGCATTTCCTGCCATTGTGAGTACTAAACCCAAGTATCCGCGTTCTGGCTAATGATTCCCAATCCATAAGAGTTTTGTTCGGTATCCGGCCTCAGTCATAGATCATAAGTATGTGCATATTCCAGATAATCAGGGTCCAAATACGATGATGCGGATATCTACAATAGCCAATATTATATACAAACTCTTTCTCCAGTCACGCTTGTCCTCTGATCTAAATCGAACTCTTATCCGGCGTCCCTAGTCTCAAGACGCTCCCCAGGCTCTTCCCCAGGCTCTTCCCTAGCACCCTCTCTAACTACTCCCTCACCTCCATCCCTCCGCTCTCCTACTACTGTTTCTCCCTCCTGGCGCCCCGGCTCCGGCCCATTAACAACGATGGTCCTCCGAATCCCCTCTCCAAGCCTCCGTCTCTGAACCCGTCTCATCTGCGCCATGTTAACCGCGATCTGCGCCCCGAAGATAAGCAGGAACAGTCCCAAGACAAGCGTCTGCGGAAGGTATGTCTGAGAATTAGAACTTCGCTGTTGTGGAACAGGGCGCTGACGGTCAAATGTCGATGGTGCAGAACCGAATGATACTGAGACGGACATGGAGAACGGGGCGAAGGAGGTGATAAAGCTCGGGGATGATAACGTTGTCCCTGGGGGTAGCAGGAGTGGGAGGACGGAGAAGACGAAGAGGGGGACGGCTAGTCACAAGATAGACATAATTAATGGGCGGTTTGATCTGGTTTAGTTAGTATCGACTGATGTTTGAATGATGGTGGTGACGTACCGTTCTCTAGATTCAAGCTTCTTGACCCACCGTGCGCTGATCTTTAATCGTTCCCGCACACTTGTTGCGCATAAGAGACGGTATTTTTCTTCGTCGGAAACACGAAGGATACTCGCCAACCACCAAGGGAACCGGGACGGATCGGTTGGTTCGTTTCCATACGCCATTAGAGCCCGGGGATGCAACCACGGTGCTCCAATGCGGTGTTGCGTGCGGACAAAATCCAACGCCAGATCGAATAACTGCTGCGTCGACATGGATTCAAGGGGTTTTTGCGTCTCTTCCTGGGGCTCCGAGGGCTCCTGAGACTCTGTCAATGTCTCCGCAAAAACAGCAGTCTCTGCAGCTTCATTACTCTCCTCCACTGTGATGGGAACATCATCCAACCGCTCAACCTGCCCAACATGGTACCCATCCAGCATATCCGCCTTGGTAACCTTGAACCGGGAAACCCCTGTCGCAATCACAAGACTCCTCCCATCAGGAAGCATTTCAAACCGGTCAACCAGCATTAAAGTGCCATGTTGCATAAACTGTGTCCTTCCCAGTCCCCCCTGCCGTCGCCGGGCACGGTTGTACGCAACCATACCGAACTTGCGTTCTCGACTTGCCATGATGCGGCGGATCATGATCCGATATCGAGGCTCGAAGATGTGTAGGAAGATTGGCATTGTTGGGAACGCTATTGAGCTCACGAAGAGGGGGGTCATTCGTTCGTTGTCTAGACTTGCTTCGTCTTGGGCGAGGGATTCTCGACGCGCGGAAACTTGGTCTGGGAATAGACATTGCATTAGTCCCGCGACAGGACTGTTAATGGGCTCAGATTGGATAGTTGAGGGCATGTTGAGCTTTCGTCGACAAACGGGACATAGGTCGGAATGGTTCAAGACTAGCTCAACGCATTTGCGACAGAATGTATGGCCGCAGGGGGTCGTTAGGGGGTCTGAGATGAGCGAGTAGCAGACCTGGCAGTCGAGCTCATCGCGGATAACCTGCTTTAGTCGCGTGAGTAGAACTGTGTCAACTGATGTCTGTTCCATGCCATCCTTCCTATCGTAAACCACATCTGACGCATCATAGTCGAGTCGTCCCTCTTTGATCATCCGGTAAACACCCCGTAGGGCTCCACCCTCCAAACACGCCGTTTTCCACGTTTCTACCAAATCATTGGGATCTGCCCAACTCATCTCCAAGCTCTTATCTTCTCCATATCCACTACCATGTATATCCCCCGCAAGAACCTCCTCAACAACCTCCACCAACCTCGTCAACAACACATCCACCCCACAATCCGCCACACAATGTTCCCCCACACACGACTCGTCCTTCTCCCACGGACACTTGAACCGATACTTCCGACCCTCACCAGCAGGATATGTGATTCCAACTCGCGGCTGAACAGGTGGTAGACACTCCCGGCATAGTGTATTCCCGCATGGCAAGCGGAGGGGTGTGCGGAGGGGGCGTAAGCATCGGGCGCACTGGATCTGGCGGAGGAGAGTATGCGCGAGGAGTGAGAGAGAAGTGTAAGATTCTTGCGACTCTGATGATGGGGTGAACGGATCGTACGAGTATGCTTCTCGTTCGTCTTCGTTCATGATGGCCTTCGGGGGTTCAGGGTCTTGTGGAGAGTGGAGATGGGTTCTCGTTCATGGGGAACTGTCGCGCGCGATGTGATATGTAGTCGTCGTATATAAGTCAGTGATATTAGAGCACGGTAGCAAGTATTATATACAAAGAGTCGGGTTGAATGGCAGCTCTCGTGGTGGTAGCTGGAGTAATACTTCGTAACGGAGCTCCTCGTCATCGGAAGTCGGAGTGGGAGAGCGTGGCCGTATCGGTAGTTCGTGGCATTATGATTAGATCTTGGCTTATCTTGATCTTGGCTTATCGATAAGGGTACGTCAAAAGTAGTTATACGCTCCCATGAATGAAGAATGCAAAATAAGATTGCATTCAATGTAATTTCGGGCTGGGGGTTGAGTGTAGTAATGGAATTTCTATGAGGAAAATGTCTTTAATCCAATGTTATTTCCCGATACTTAAGAATGCCATTTTGCCGGTATATCAAGAGTCCAAAGAAGCCCATCCGGAGACCAAGTACTCCGTACTCCATGACTGTCAAGCACTTTACTTTCTACTCTACACTTTACAGATAGTCTCGTATCAAGTACGGTAGTAGCGTGAAATTAGATATCCAGCAGCACAAGCCAGTGGGGATACAGAAAACCTGAAATAAAACAAACAAAAGGCAATGAACGCGCAAATCACCGCGGCACTGACGCCTGAATATCCGGCGCTACCCAGTGATCACTTTCTAGCAGCAGCTTCCTTATGCGCCTCTGCTTTGCGGTACCAATGCTGGTGTGTTTGGAGAAAGGTGATCTAAACAGAAGGCCTGAAGCAAATGCACCATACGATACAGGAGATCTGGGATACTTTACCTCTCTTCTTCCCGTCTCAGAGAAATCTTGCTCTTCTAGTCTCCTTGACTGGTTTAGAATGTAGATTTAAGAACTGAAGAAAGACGCTGGCTTCAGGATCCTTGACTGGCTGGATGAGTTCAGCTTCAGAGCCACTCATTAGCGCTATCTTTATCTTCGAAATCAGACGACCTGTCATCTTCAGAGTCAGAAAGTCTATCGTCACCCGGTTCTGCCGTCCCGCTGAGAGCGGCTAGTGAGTTCCCGATTGATAATAGATAACAGTACTATGTTCGTCTATATATACTCGCAAATTAACCGAATCTATATTCTGTAGAAGAAAATAAGGGGTGTACGAAGATACGATGCTAGAATAGATGGACGAAAGTAAAGAAAGATGATAGATTGATGTAGAGAACTTGAATACAGGCGGGCGACATGGTGATACTTATAGATCATCACATAAAGAAATGATATATTTAGAGCGTTTGCTATAGTTGCACGAAGAGCAGGCATTCTGTTTGAGTAAAAACGGATATAGGCCTACATATTCAACAGTAGGTAACCTAATACTAGTTCTAGATCATTGACGTTGGCCTGCAAGGACAAGGTTCTTGCAGGCCTGGACCTTTTCGGGTGCCCAGAAAAATTCCAAGCATCCCTAACGCTTGTTTCCTGAGCTATTTGTTTAGCGCATATGGGAGCACGTGGGCTACCTCCACGAGGTCACCCCCCTTTGTTATGCGGCATTAGATGTCCGTTTTTCCTGGATGGAAGCGATTAGTGCAGTTTTAAAACGCGCAGCTGGCTCTTTGGCTTCTTGCGATCCTCTGTAATTCTCTTCCTCGTTTTCGAGGCGGTTATAGGGGTCCCAACTAGGGGTGAAATTGAACCCGCATTCTCTCTAACCATCGTCGATATCTCTTCAATGGCCCTGAGAAGCCTGAAGGGGGTGGTGTGTCTCTAAGAGGGACGGGTAGCGAATTGCTGCTATTTTGGTCTCCGCGAGAACTCTATGTTCGCTATATGAATCAGCCCTATATCTCTGAAAAAAAAAAAAAAAAAAAACAGAGAAAGATCAGCCAACATATTTATAAATTCGACAATTTTTGCTTGGTTTCATCTTATATATCTTGATGGCAGGTCTCAAAACGCCTTTTTCCCAGTCCTTGTCAATATGCTATGTGGGTGATTCCCGGTAATCCGGACTGTTCCTGAACATTTTGGCCAGCAAACCACTGGAACAACCACGCCTGATATTTTCCGAGTCACTTTAAATTACTTCCCGAGGCTTGTGAGACTTCAATCCGTCAGCGAAGTCGAAATCAGTCGGGTTAGTTGACACTACACATTACAGTATCTATCCAGACACTCGTGTAGGAGAGGGTGCGCCGGATTTCGCTAGTCCATTCAAAAGGGACATCATACTGTCCATGGAAGCAGTTCTTCCAGACATACACGTGAGCTGGATTGATGTTTTCTTCTTCTTTGGGCATCACGGACTAGACAGTGGTCAAGGTAAAGAAAGTGGATAAAATAGAACCGGCAAAGAGAGCAGTGCAAGCTGTTGAGTTTTTTGACTGTCATTCTTGTAGTTTGGAAGGGTGAGTATTTTATAGGCTTCCGAGGTGTTGATGCACAAGAGCCAACATTGAGTGCCAATGCTCTCAACGGGATTGGAAAGGTGAATAACTATCATTACATATAAGGTATACACTTTTCTATAAAATGCTATCCAGCTGGCACAACTTCCAACAAACAATGTCTTCCTTTCTATTGTACATTGCCATTACATATATAAAAGTGTCTAGGTCAACATATCCCAAAATACACCTCGCACTGCTCTGATACCCACTGCGCCTGTCTCTGAAAATCCTCCGGTGTCTTCAACCCATCTTCGCAAATATACGTGTTAATCAAACTAGGTGGTACCCATTCAAAATACACATTCTGTACATTCACCGTCGACTGTCCATGCCCAGCATCATCACTCTCAAGTCGATCCTGGACAATATCCAGTCCCTTGACTTTATTATTTTGCTTCCAGGCGTCCGTGACCTCTGACGCCTCGTTATTCTCCACGTTATGCTGGTTGCTCGGTTCCGTAGCAACCTTGTAAATCTCACTGACGACAATCGTCTCCGCAGATGGTGCCATGTGTTGCACCATCAGAGCGGCCGGGAGTGATCCCGTTTTATTGCTTACGGATCCGTCTGCGGCAATCCGGTCCGCACCTAGGAGGAGCAGGTCGACACCCATAGCAGCCTGGGCTACAGATGCATCGGTAAATATGGTCACGCGGACTTGCGGACGTGGTGTTTGTAGAGCTTCGAAACTGGATATTATCGATGCGGCCATTGATACACCTTCGAATAAGGGACGGGATTCGAGGACGTGGATGTTGATGAGTGGTGCACCGGAGGCAAGGGCGGATTGAACGATGCATTCGCGGATAGTTGAGCTGCATGATAGAGTTAGGATGATAAATTTATTCCGTTTGCTCCTATTATTCTCGCCCTTAGATAGCATATGTGATGCAAGGTTCTGGCTGATACGTGGTGTATAGGATCGTATCATCTGCTGTACATTATCGAACGCATTTTGTATGCATAGCCTTTTGCTTGGTTCATTATCGACATTATCTCGTGACAGCACATTAGATACTTCACTTAAAACCAGCAGCAAGAAGCTAACAATAGCAGCATCCATACTTGGGCGACCATTTTTCCAGAGATGCCACGCCGCCAGACATGTCTTCTGCCACCAGGGACTCTCAAGTCCAATCGGATCCTCGAGATGCTCCAGGGTCGTCTGGAGTATGCTCAATGCAACAGCGGCTAACTTTCGTGCGCCACTTTCATGATCTTGTTGTAATTGTTGTAGTCCGGTGGCCAGTATTGTCCCGGATGCGGGACCTAGTTCGGTGTCGAAAAATGTATTCCGGAGTCCTTGGTCAATATATGGAAGACCTCCAAGGCTTGCTTCTATTATATTGACGCTCCCTGTGCTGTTGTCCCCCTTGGTATCGTCCTTGACACAGAACATAAAAGGATAAAACACACATCTCCGTCCTATCGAAACAGGATCCTCGGATATGAATGGCTTCCCATGTCGAGTAGCATTTAGTGGCGTCCCAGAGAGATGTGTCTGGTTCTTAATTGTCTTCCAAGCAGCTTCAACGGAACTCGAATCGCTACTCTCAATAATCCCTACAATCGGTGCAGGACTACACCATTCTTAGCTTCAACTTCAACCGAACTAATATTAAAAATATCGAAACATACCACTTCCCCACAGTCGCATCTGCTTGGACAATAAAACATAGAACAAGCCTGCGCGGTGTCTCTTCTGTTTCTTTTGTTTCCTTCTCCTGCAATAACCGCGATGCAGATGCAAAGAATCGAAATGCCTCCTGCGACTTGGATTTGGACCGCGATGCAATACTCCCTCGCTCTTTTCCTCTTATTCTTGTGGCGATTTTAGGTGTCTTCCGTGTTTGTTTCGAGCGTTTAATCGATCCTAATATTCGCAGGGTGCTCTTTTTGTTTTCACATCGGGGTCCGGGTCGAGTAATAAAATCTATCAACGAAGGGGGAGTATCGAGATCTGCCATGGCACTAGAATCAATACACTAAAAATGAAAAAAATAAATAAAAATAAAAATAAAAAAAAAGTTTGTGTGGTCTCAATGTGTTGATTGAGCTAGAAACCAATTCTCCAGACTCCGTCCATGCTCCATATATATTCCACCACGATTTCTAAATCTGCCAGATCACCAAAACCCACCATAACACGGAATCTCACGATATCAATATATTATTCGTGGAAAAATAAAGTCGGTCTACGTCGAGCGCCAACCATTTGGGCCAAAAAGCAAGTTGAGGGATCGGCGCACCACATGTTCAGCTGAGTGTACATCATTTCCGGATGTATATTCTCCAGATCGTGGAGAGCTGAGAACCATGGTTGCATCATATTTATAGACTTCATAATATTTCAAGAGAATTTTTATGTGCAGGATGTGATGGATCAAGGAGTTGTGGGAAACGGAAACATTGCGTGTCCATCGAGTTGGTGCACCCAGATATATATTAAAACACCGGCACACTTGAATATTGCCAGATCAAACACAGTTCATCATCCCCGGAGATAGTTTTCATAGTGACTGTTCGGAGTACTATGGTAAGCATTGAGTCGGTCTGCTACTTCCAAGTGTTCTCTCGTGTGAAATCTTGGTGTGTGGCTATGTTGTAATGATGGATAATGCGAGGATGTGTTGGACTTATGAAGTAGAAACGCAAGGTGGAGGCGGATAGTGTGATGTAGACATGCGCGAACCGGGGACATCAATCTTCCATATTGATATCCCATTTCAACTCTGTGAATCCCCCCGTGGGAGGAACCTCTTTGCGTACATGCGATATCTCCTCGTCCCGCAGTCGCTCAAGAGGCAGCTCGATGAATTGCGCCGGGGACGTGAGAAGTAGCTTAAATCCACAGGACGTGGGGCCTCTCTTTGTGAAAATCTGACAACCCAATCAACCATAATAGCAGGCCATATGCATCATCCATGGTCTCCGGATCAGCCAGGTAAAGAGGTAAGTTATCAATGATACAGAAGACAAAATCCGTAGGTGGTAAAAGACTGAGAATGTATTGAAAAATGTCACAGATGGTGTCCACATTAGTGCTTTGGAACTCGATCAGCTTGATGAAGGATGTCAGATCCAGATCCGGGAATGACAGTGGTAGCTGTGCTTCGACCCAGGCTTTCAATTTGGAAGACCTGATCATCTCGACACAGAGATCTTGTTGCCGATTACCTGCGGTGATCTTGGAGGGAATAACGCCCAGGAGGTGGAGCATAATCTCGAGCATTTTTTCTATCTGGCAAGAAAATGGGGATGCGTGTTGCTTCTCGATGAATCGGATGTATTTCTAAGTGAGCGAATGCCAGGGAATATCGTACAGAATAGCCTTGTATCCGGTGAGTCTTTTCTCAAGTCGACCGTCCGACACATGCTAAATAAATGCCAGTCTTTCTCCGAGTACTGGAATACTACTCCGGAATCCTAATCCTAACAACCAACCGCGTGGGCCAATTCAACGAAGCAGCCCTCTCGCGCGTCCACACCACACTCTTCTACACAAACCTCAACGAAGGCGACACGCTCAGAATCTAGAAGAAGAATATCCAAAAGCTCAAACTTCTAAGCGAGACTAGAAAACCAAATATCAAATACAACAAGCACGACATCAAGTCTTTTGCAAAACAGCAATGGGCAAAGGGACTTCGCTGGAATGGTCGGCAGATTAAAAACGCCTTTCAGACTGCTGTCGCGCTGGCGGAGTGGGATGCTATTGAGAAAAATCCTGGAAAGGAACCGGCTGTTGCGGAGTTGACGACGAAGCATTTTCAACTGGTGATTAATGCTAGTAAGGATTTCGAGAGATATATTGAGTCGATGCGAAGCGCGGAGGGAACACGGGCTCGAGTCAACAATTGGCAGAATGACTCTTTTCATGGAGCCGTTCCGGAGAGTAAGTAGCAACCAGTTAGGAGGAATTGGTCGAGCTATGTTGATATGGCTTCTCATGAGCCCCGTACAACCGAGAAGAAACATAGGAAACAGTCCAAGTCTAGGCGGAGAAAAGGGAACCAGGAATCAGATGACACGACTGTATCTTCGGACCATTCAGCTGGATCTGAATTATCGGACAGTGGCAGTGATAGTGACAGTGATGACTAGGCTATGGCCTTGGACTGAACCTAGATTAGTGGGCGTTAATACATATTATCAGCAATCTAAATTCAACCGATTAGCTGACCTTCATCTGTACTAGTCGAGACCTATTGCCGACAACACAATCCGGGTTAGAAATCTTAGTTGAGCATGTGGTGCGGCGATAATTCTCAAATGTAAGTGGATTCATTCCTCATAGCCTAACCATGCTCCCAACCAAAGCCGAACACACCACAATAAGTAACACAAAACTATACACATGCAAATGCAATTCAATTCAATCAATCAATTCAACGCTTAAGCAACCCACACACAGACTCTCAACATCCAGTTTTGTTCATAAGACGTATACTGTATAAAACTCCATAGGTCCGGAGACGACTGTATCCGTGTCATTGACAGTGGGGTATATGATATATTCAAAAGAGATAAAGGTAAAAGTAACAGTTGGAGAAGGGTGGAGGGAGTGTGGTGTGAAAGCACCGGATCTATAAGAGATATAAATAGACGGGGTAACGGGATAGGTGTTTAATCAGCGGACCCCTGCGACGAGCTAACATCCGACTCCGTATCAGAGTCCTCTTCGAGAACTATCCGGCGCATGACGCTCTTGTCGAATAGGTCCAGGGCGAACCGCCGCGCGGGGAGTCGGAAGTGGTGGCTTTCGAGGATATCGAGGGTTTTGCGGAAAAGTTGGGCTTGGTGGAAGCGCTCGGGGTATTTTGCTTTGATGCTGCGATTGTAAGTTAGTATTGTCTTGATTCCGATGGAAAGAACAGAATCATACCTATGCAAGTCCGATGCTGCCCTCTTGGACAGAACGGTATTTCCCATGTCGACGATCAGTTTCAGAATCTTCTGATTCGCAGGGTCCGGATCTGTAGCGGCAGCTTTGAACTTCTCATGAGATATCCGTTTCAGTTCAGGGTCGCGGGAGCAATTAGGGAAATCAATCTGCATCGTCAGCAACCTCTTTGGAACTAAGTTATAATGACAACATACCAAGAACAACTTCCTAAAATCATTCGGAAGACTGAATCCCAGAGACTCCCCCTTCTGATCAACGGCCGAATCCCATCCAACTTCCCGTAGCACCGACAACCCATGCCGACTCCGCGAGATCAAACCAAGGACAAAGAATGCTGTCCCGCGCATGGTCAACACCTCAGCACTTTCCGCAATTCCCACGATATGCCACACGAGATCTTTCTCCAGGAACGGCGCGCCAAATTCCATTGACCCGACGTTACCCACGGCCCATAAGCACCCTTTCACCTTTAAAAGGGATTCATGTTCTTCTTCGTTAAGGCGGAAGTCTCGAATCGTCCATGCGAATTCATTGAAGTGGCCTGACTCTTCGAGGAGTCTGCAGCCTTCAGCTGTTCGCGCGAGCTCGCGGTAGAAATGGGGCGGGACTAGTCCAATATCTTGCATGTCGACTAGGTCCTCCGGAACAATGCTGCCTCTTCGTGGTGTGTCGACGTAGGCGCGCGAAAGGGCCGCTTCCACAAGTCCCACATAAGCGTCATTGCGTCCCAGGAACCAATCGTCCATTTCTTGCGTGATGTAGTCGAGTCCGTCCAGATAGTGGTACCCGACGGACGTTGAGAGGAACCGCAGGAGTAATGGCGCCCCAATTTCTCCGAGATGGTCAAGAGACGGTCGACATTTGACGACAAACTCGAGATAGTCGCGTTGGTTGCATGCTTCTTCCAGAATTTTGACGGCCACCTGGCAAACAGACACATCCGGATCATACAGCTGCGTCACGAGGAGTTTCAAAACCCACTCCGCATATCCAACACCGACTTGTTGCGATATAGAGATGTTTCTGACGGCATACTTCCTCAATAACTTCGTGGCGAAAATGCGGATCTCCTTTGAGCCGGTCGTCAGTGCCTTGGACAGCATAACTCTAAGATGGCTTTCCTGCGAATAATCCAGATTTCCTAATAAGGTCTGAATCAGGTCATTCCGATCCCGGAGCTCAATTATATGGTAGAACATGTTGAGCATGTGCCACCTCTCCATCATGGCCAGTCCGTTAGTATCTGCACTCAACGTCCCAAGCATTGCAAAATATCCACCGCTCAATGTGTTGCTCATTTGCTCCTTCGAGAACAACGGAGCAGAAGACGTAAGACCACTCATGCGATCCACCTGCGCAAGGCACTCGGCAACCTGTCTGAGAAACTTATTCTCTGCGAGATATTTTGTTCCCTCGGGGCTTTGGACCAAAGTACGCATCAAGACACAGCCGGTCCGAACATAGCGTTGGTTGGGTTTGGTATTCGGAACCACAGCGAACCGATACTTGAATGGCCGGTAAAACCCGACAAGTCGTTTGACGAACTTAGACCCCTTAATCGCTTCGTCTAGTCGCTTCTGATTTGTCAAGGGGCCTTCGACGATACGATGGATCAGATCCCACTTCCACTTGAGGAAATTGACGGTACCCAGGACGTTCGTCTCAAGGATAGAGTTGCGGAATTGCGTTTCGTCCATAGCAGGACTCAGTTTGTCTTTTCCTTGGTCGACCGACAGGATCGAAGCCGACACATCCATATTCACGCTGTATCGACCAGGCGCGTTTGAATAGCCGCGTGACCGTGCGAGCGTCCGGTTGATGCTGTCAATTTGGTAGATTGTAGAGGTCGAGATGTCATGGTTGTCGATATCGAAGTTGAGCGCAGGTGGAAGCAAATGCGGCAGGACTTGTAGTTGTGCACTTGTCTCGCTTGGCAGAGAGTGGTGCGCCAGTTTCAATACTTCTGTCAGTAATAGCGTCGCTTTTCGTCTAACGGACAGATCGGTTTCTTCTTCAATCAAATCACAGAGTGCCTATTCACGTTAGCCTCGTAGCTCCTAAAGTAGGCTTTGGGAAGTATACCTTTGATAACCCTGCATCAACCAGCGTAGCCAATATAAGAGTCGAAAAATGCTCTGTTAGGTCAAACTGGTTATTGTTATTCTCGTAGGGAGCACCGAACTGTTTCTGATCAGGCTCCGATCTAAGATTCGCAACGCGCCCATAAGTCGTAAGCCTACGACCGGCAAGGAAGGATGAGGACCAGGATGGCGGCTTGATACGCAAAGCATCGAATAACAGCTCCATGATGAGGTCCCTTGCCGTTGGATCGGGGTAGTGTAATGACTCGAGGAGTGAATGCAGAGGCCTGGCTCCGTCCCTGGCGAGAACAACCAGACCTGGCCATGTCTTGAGCATCGCGGATATGGCCCTGGCTGATGATTTTAACCGGCCATTGCGCACTGAGTCGGCCAGAGAGTCTGTGAATGGAGCAAGGACAGCTTCGAGCTCACTCCCGCCGCGCAGATGCTTTCTGCTATGTGGTGTATCTAGAACATGCAGGAAGCTCGATATCAAGCTCTCTGAGGCGCCAAACGTCCCTTCTGCGAGGGCATCATGCAAGATAGCAAATCCACCGGCATAACCGATCAAGGCGGGATCTTTGACTAGAATTTCCGCCAGCGTCATGACGGAAATATTGCGGAGACGATCGTCGGCGTGCTCAGCAACGGCGACGATGGTGCGAACAACAGCACGGGAAAGCTCGCAAACACCATCCTTGACATCAAGAAAAGCTCTGACGAATTTGAGTGCCTGTTCTCGTTCGAGATTTGCCTTGCTTTCCTTGACGAGAGATAAGATGACGAGTTCGTCGGTGTGCAGGGACCGGATTATTTGGAGCGATTTCCGGTCCGCAATGGCGTATCGGGTCAACCGGTAACCAGCGGCCACGATTTCCTTATTATCGCTCAGGAGCATACTCTGCACTCGCAGACCGAAGACTGGCCATGCCAGATCATACTTCAACGTGGGATGGCGATTAAAAAGCTCCACCAGGCTGTTCGCCCGCTCCACGTAGAAATCCGGTGACATCCCTTCAATCTCCAATGCTTGTAGTGTTTCCGTCAAGACAAACGTGGGCGATTCCATCTCCCCTTCAACATCCTCCGGCAGGCCTTCATCCGCCGTCTCATGTTCCCTTGATGACGGCCGCATGGGACTTCCGCGGAAGAGGGTCGATATCCGACTGCGTGGGGGAGTCGTCGACGGCGCCTGCGCTCGTAATACCTCCTCCTCGAGTTCATGGTGTAGTTCTGCCAGCTTGCGATTCGATGAACTGAGTTCCGACTCTACCCTTATTCGCTGGTCCTTGGTGTGTTTCGGGTTCTTAGCCAACAGCGCCTCCAGCATGTTCTCCGTCCCGGTCTTGATCTTCACCTCCTTCGCAATCTTATCCCGAATCACCGCCTGACGCTCTTCTGTATTCGAGAACCCATCCGACGGGTCGACGGTACCGCTTGCTCTCCGCGCGGAGAATATCCCGGGGCCGGTCGCACTACTACTACCACCACCACCACCACCACTATCCGGCGGCCGTGGTGTCACACTCCGCGAAGTATTCATACTCTTCAGCTCCGAGCTGAAACTCCCTGGTCCAGGCGCTAGGGACCCTCCTGCTCCGCGGGAGTAGATGCTGGCACTCCCACCAGACTCAGACCGAGCATTCCTCCCGACTCGCGACGAAGCGTCGGCCCAGCTCCCGTCCGTGGAGCCATCGTCAAGGCTCGATAGCGATCTTCCTTGAGCATCGCCCAGAGCCCGGTGCTGGGTTGACGTCGTGGAGGACGCCGAGTTATAATATCCGGACGCCATAGATCTTCCATCTAGCCGCACGAGGGGCGGAAGGAAACAGTGTGGGGATGTCTATCACCGGTCGTGAGGGCGGCAAGGAACGGGGGACTGCATTGGATTCGGAAATTGGAGGAATATCAGGTCAATATTCGTAGGATAGTGTGTTGTTATCGTCAGATTGTGCGGGTTCTGGTCCAATCGGGCTCGTATAGCGGAGAAGGGGAGATCTGGAAGGGAGGGGTGCGATGGTGTCAATGCGGTTCGTGCGGTGAGGTGTTCGTACAGACTAATCTGGACAGCGGTGCAAAGAGGTCAGTAGAAAAGAAAGGATATCAGCTTCACTCAAGAGCAGCGATAATTATGGCTTCATGGAGTCCGATCCGATCTGGTTTCAATGTTGAGAACATGTCTTGGCTGGATGTTGACTAAGCGACTGTCTGGACTAACTAAGTTAACTATCTTCACCATGACATTTCCAGTATATTCCTCTGTACATTCATGCCTCCTTTATTGCTCAATATGAGGTACGCCAGGCTCGTTAGTAGCTTGGTAGGAAGACGGCCTCCATCTTGCTCTCTGGGATTTACATCATGCACAGCCGTCAGAAGGTACTACTCACCAAGACTCTCATCTACGATGGTATCTACAGACCACTCGGCTGGGAAAGCCCCTAAAGAGCCATTGCAGCTATCCTATATAGTTCCACCACAGGGTATGATTCTATGCTCTGACTTGCTTTTGCAGTGACTAATGACTAGCTGCACGGAATATCTTCTGCGTCTGGCATCTTCAGTCAATACGAGATGATCTAGATCGAACCAAGCCATGCATTGTAACTTGAACAACTGCGTCGAGTCCCGGTAATTCTCTATGCCTTTGCTTACCTCTACGTTGATCCGTATGATATTGTGGATCCTCAACCAGAAATCTGATGTGACGGTCACTGAGCTTGCGTGTTAGTGCTTAAGTAGCTCGTCTTTGGCTTACTCTATACTCTATACTCTATAGCAAATAGCTCTAATGCCAATACCCAAAGTTTCTTTTTTCTCACCTTTTCTCTACGATTATCTTGAGATAAAGGGTCAAATCTCAGGATACTGACGATAAGATCGAAAACAAGGAATGTGATAAATCTCGTCAAGATGCATGAGATCAACTATTCACCCCTCCTTATCCGAATTTAGATTGCTAGCAACCGGCGTAGATCTGTGTTAGCATCCCATCTTTCCGAAAAGTGATCTCTCCTCCCTGATTCACTTTGGTCAATATTCATCCCCAAATACACCACCACTTATCGGAACCCGACAAAGCCTGGAGGCATGATACTTGATCTTGTTGAGATACCATGCGACAGTGTTGCCAGTTCACTTACCATACAGTGACTCGGAATTGAGGACCGGACTGGGAACAAATCCCACAACTAGCTCAAGGCTATAGAGAAAACAAGGGGTGCGAAGTCTTAGCTAACTTCCAGTCCGTTGCTCTTCCCGCTACGAGCATTCGCGATATATTTGGCTCAAGGGAGCTTAGCGACATACCATAGCGAGCCTCCAGTTTCCATGCTTCTATCTTGAACAACAGTGTGGAGCTTTCGACTCTCACCCGAATCCGTCAGAGCTATTTTGCCTCTGTGGCCATTTATGTCCTGGCTACGACAATATCCTGGAATCGTTTTCCTCTGGCCCTTAGTTGCCCGCACAATAAAACATCACTCGTCCCACGCAAAAGGCTATCAGGCATGTTCACTGAGCGCAAGAAAACTGTAAGAGCGCTATGGGACGTTATCCAAACAAGCCAGGAGACCTATATCGTGACACTCTACACGGGAAGGTCCATGTCCTCGCAAACCGAGTCCCTTGTGGTGTTATGTCCGCGTCGAAGGAGACAAACTGGAGGATTTATGCGATGTCTAACAGTGTATTCTAAGGGGAAAATAAAGCGAACAATATCGGATATTTGATCAAGCTACAATCACACTAACCTCGTGCTAAGAGAGGGGCTTGATTCCGTCTACCTCGACCAAGTGCATCGTTTCCAAGTTTTCGCTAACGGCACTTTGGAGGTTTAGCGCGGTAGCTCCAAGCATTGAAGCGCCTTAGGCGACAAACGATACAGGGCTAGCTTTAACTGCTGGAAGCTTATTTCCAACCCCAGGACGGAAGCGGAGCGGCTGGGTGGACTTCGCCCTACCCTCTGAAAAATGGGTGATCGAATGCACCCGCGACGGCGAAAAACTCGCTGAACACATCAACTGCTTCAAGGCCGGCGGAGATTACCACCGTTGGATAATTTGGGGTGAACGGAGGGATGGATCCTGCTAGACTTCTGGCTGTCCGTACCCCAGAAACGCAGAGGTATGCATTTACTTTCGTTTCTCTCTTTCTCTCCGCCCACACCATTCCCCTCTCGGCCCACTGGCTTTTGATTGAGATATCTGATAGATATAGGGATTTAGTGGGTCTTTCACGTTGTCTTTGACAACGACATCTCGTGCCCGGTCAGACCAATATCCCTTTACTTCAATAATTCAGGTCTTTGGCTGATCGTATTGAGGAGATACATTGACACTTTTCAAATTAAAACTCTTCCAGCATATCACATTCAGACATACTCCTGAGCGTCAGGAGCTCTGTGATGAACTCTACGATTTAGTTTTGCATTAAATATTCTAAATCATATGGCGAGACTTCTCCATCTCCTGGGTTGGTTGAGTATATATTCGACCTGAAGAAAGCCCATCCGCCGCATTAGCGTCAGCTTGTGTAGTCAAAATCCTGACGGGGTCGAAAAATATTGATAAAGTTTGCAATATGCGTCTTATACGGTATTTGACTCGAACTGCAACGTTGTTCCCGGTCAGAAAGAAATTACACTTTTACAGAAACCAGCTGGTATGGCCTTACAGGCTACCTTACATTGGGTATTATTGAGTCGGGCATCATGACCCAAGAAAGTGTATTTGATCACAATACAGCATTAATGGTTCAATAACATGCATGCAGAACATTTAGTTACTTATTGAGTTGTGATATATTCATTCTAACTCCACAATCCAGAATGATAGACACTCGGCTGAAAAAGTGGCGGTCTTATACACGATAGGCGCGGGAGTCAAGGAAAGATACTCTATACCGATATGGGTTGGCTTGATGGCCGTGGCAGCGCGGGCCTGGTCCTGTTGCTACTATGGTCAAGGCGAACGGGCAGGTTTCGGTGTTTGCTCATAATAGGGATGATCAGACGAAGGTTTTTGAAGTGAGTAATGAGGATAACTGGGAGGCGATGAAGAGTATTGTTGCTTAGAACTGTTACTACATGAAGATGCAGCTATTTCTGGGTAGGATCGTACAATATATCCGGGGCTTACGCTTGAAAAGACCTGTCTTAATATACTATACAAGAAGTTGAAATTGACTTTGATACATCCTAACACAATAGATTAGAGGATGAGCTATACGGGCTGCCTCCTCTACCTTGCTTTCTTTATACGTCATGCCAATGAGTCTATGTATGCTTTATGCAGAGAATCATTCCAGATGGGAAACACAACATATAGCCCTTACATACGGGAAGATTAAACTACGCCTCTTGAAAGGGAGGATAAAAATGCAACAATAACATATATATAGGCAACTTATCTTTTCACTCGCAAAGCACAACCCATCGTCACTTCACCCTCCAATCCGTGAATTGCAAGATGAAGCTCCCTCAAACCCATCCACATTCTCCAATCCCCTCCGAAAAGACCACGCCACTAAATCACAACGAAACGGCCATCAGAAACCTCCAACTCAAAAACCCATCTCTAAGATTTATCCGCTTCCAATGGCAAGACTACTCCGGAGCCCTACGAGGCCGCATCCTCCCCATCCACCACTGCCTCCGACTAGCAAAGGAGAACAAGCCCATCGAAGTCCCACCCACCGCATTCGAATGTATTTTCGACAATATGCCTCTTCCTGACCTCAATCCGACAGGAACAGACTCCCTTCTTCCAGACTGGGGAAGCGCGCGTACTAGTTCGCAGAGCGTTGTCTCGGAGGAATCATATGCTACTGTGATGTGTGAGGTGATGCGGAGTAAGCCTGCGAGTCCAGTTTCTGAACTTGATTTGTGTCCGCGGCGGGCGCTGGCGAAGGTGGTGCATAAGGCCATTGAAGTCTGTGGTTTGAGTTTTCTGGTGGGATTTGAGGTCGAGTTCGGGGTTATGAAGGTCTCTGCGGACTGGAGTGACATTATCCCACACAGCACAGGTTCGGGACGGTTCGCCATCGGACAGCGAGATCCGTGCTTCGCGCATGTGGAGGAGTGTATTTGTGAACTACAATACGCTGGCATCGATATCGAGTCTTTCCAAACCCAAGGCCGTCACCAGTACCAACTATCCCTCCATCCCCGCCCACCCCTACAAGCCGTCGACGAACTAATACTGGTCCACGACCGCATCAAGCGAGTCTTCGCTAAACACGGCTACATAGCAACCATGTGTCCCAAACCAGTAGCAAGTCGACAGCAAACAACAAGCCAGCACATGCATATCTCCATCTCCCCTCCATATGCGGAATCGTCCTTCCTGGCTGGCATACTCAAGCGTCTGCAGGCACTCTGTGCATTCAGCTTACCTTATGACCTCTGCTACGAGCGCGAGCAACCATACCCCAACAGCGAAGTTGTCGCCTGGGGCACACAGAATTGGGAAGTCCCCATCCGCAAAATCAAACCCGGCCATTGGGATTTTCGATGCGTCGACGCAACGGCTAACATGTATCTCACATTGGCTGCTTTTCTTGGTGTTGGCATCCTAGGAATACAGAATGAGGAGCCCCTGGTGTGGCCGGATACCGGCATTCCTGGGCGGTTGGATCCTGCTGCGTATCTGCCGAGCAGTTTGGAGGATGCGTTGTGTTTCCTTGAGGTGGAGGCGGATGAGATAGAGGAGATTATGGAAAGCAAGATCGTCGACCGCTACATAGAGCTCAAACGGGTTGAATCATCGCGCATGAGGAAGAATCTCGGGGAGGCAAGGAGATTGCATATTGAGGTCTTTTAGCGGGAATTGTGTTACTTCGACGCTCAAGTTTAGACATGTTATGACGCATTTGATAATCCCTTACAGTAATCTACTGGTAGTTTACTTTATGTACTGTCATCTGCAAGGAATATTCGCTCAACAGTCGTGCAACTTTAGGGTCGTAACCGTACTTGCGATATCATGGAGCAAATTAATGATTCGATACCATGTATCAGAGACTAGTTCAACCATTAATAACTAGCAACTCATGACAAACAAGTCAGCCAACCTACCGCTTCCACTGGTAAAGCGGCCCCTGATACTCAATCTCAGACGGATAATCCTCCCACTCCTGCTCAAAAGTCTCCTTTGGCCCCAACATCCCCGCAATGCGATGCATAATCCACTGCATCTCAAGCAACTCCCACAACGGCAGCGGCACTTCTACCGGATCTTCAATATGGAAGGTAATTTCCTCGCCCGAGGCAATTTTCAACTCTGTCTCGGTGTTGTAGAGTTTCCCGCCTCGCGGCGCGGAGTCGAGGTTCGCGGGAAATTCGGGTATATCAGTAGCAGGCATACAATCGTACTCCGTGGCCATGGGCATCCACCAAAACTTCACGGTGAGGGGTTTCCCATCCTCGGAGCGGGAGATAGGCTGTAGCGCGAAGCGAGCATCTTTCCAGTACCCGTATGCCTGTGTAGCCATGGAAACGAGATGTTGGGGTTCAATAGGGCCTTTACCGGTTTTAGTCCAAGAACGCTTTTTATCAGTGTCATCGGGGTCAACGGGGTCATTTGCCCCTTTCAAGGCTCACTCCCAGGCAGCGACCTTCTCCTCTGGTCAAAAATACGTGAGATAAAACCACCGGGCGTCCATGTTAGATGGAGAGACTCCGTCTCTGCCTTGCCAGAAGGGACAAATATGGAAGGGACATATTAGATCGCCTTCTTTGGTGATGGGGCAGGTATTGCGTTCTCTGTAGACGGTCTGTCATTGTTAGCATCGTCGAAACGTAGTCTGAGCTATGGTGTTTGGAGCTGAACGCACCCATCAACCAGCCTTGTCATGTCCAAGAGTCTTGCTTGACTCTACCTCCTTCATCGATTCATGCCTTTCAGCCTCATCCATCGTCCGCTTATAATCCTCCATCATTTGGCCCAACATGCATAAATGGCCCTGTTAGAAATGACTAGTTTTATAACTAGTTGTACTTAATGCTTTGTAATAAAAGTGATCTTACAATACACGTATAGGGCCCCCACTTGTTTTGACATGCTAGATAGCCGTATGTGGGAAAATATATTTCCTCGTTCTAACCACTTAATGTATAAAACATGGAGAGTTGATGACCGCTCAATATTTTCAGCATTTTCGCCCTCTAGTCTGTTCAAATGGTATGTTTGAGTCATTCTATAAGAATTCATCTATATGCGAAGCTACTTAAGTCCTATACAAAGGTTTTTGTTTTTGTTACAGTAGCAATGTCAGAGAATATTGTAGCGGAGGCGAAGGTAGTGGAACAAGCAATACTTAGCATTACTACTCACTTTGGGGCATCTGCGACGGTGCTGTACAACCTGATTATATAAAGCGAGAACGGTTCAAGGACATTGTCCTTGAATACTAGTCTTTTACCCCTGATGTAGTGGATATCTCGATCAAACGTTCGCAATCTTGTAGGTTGTGACAACATCACACAGCGCCACCTTTTGCCGGTCGGTTCGGTCCGACCCAGGAAAGGGTCAAAAATCACATGGAGCAATGGCAATTGTTATAAAATGGCAATATGCGAGGGACTACTTGCCTAAATGTCATGGGGGTTTTCCGGCCAACTGAAATAAATGGGCAGTTCTAAAATACAGACATTGTGTTCGTAACTATTAAGAGATGTCAGATCATGGGATGCAATCGAATAGGGCTCAATTTATCCGAGCGGCCTGGCGAGGGAGAGAGATTGATGAGCCGATTCAAGCCCTAAGAGGTGTTATTGCTAAATTCATGCAACGCCCATATTCTTATTAAATTAGGTATTGAGTGCCCTACCTGTGCAGCGAAGCCTCTGAACTCTGGTTGATTTATCGCTGATCATAGCTTCTAACGTCCGCAGGATTGTCGTTCAGCTGGCAATCTCTGTAAAAAGTACGGAGTATACGTGTGGATGATGATCATTTACCCCACTGTTCAGCCGCGCCAGCTCAGCTGCCTCAGCTCATTCACCACTGATGCTGTGCAGGTCAGCAGTATTTGACTTCACACATTCATATCCAATATCGATCTCTAGCATCATTCTCAAGCCTTGAAGATCTATGTTGAATATAGATACCCAAATTGCCAACCATGAGACAGTGTCTTAAGAGAATACGACAAAAAATAAAAGACGGCGACAGGCGGTCTTCGCCAGCGAACTCCCAACCTTCACCTGACTTAAAGCAATGCAAGGAAAGCTCATCTGCTGTTGCGAAGTCGTTAGACCCCACCTATCCACCAGACAAATCACTCGGACAAAACCAACAAAATGGAGATTCTGGATTGAAAGACTTGTGGCAGGTTGCCTATGAGAGTGAGAAACTGAGTGATAAAGACCGACAAAATCTGTCACCAACCCAAGCCACTACCGAATCATGTTGCGTTGATGGCCATGGCCACCGTGTCAAAACAGTGCAATTGATAGATAAGGTTGTCCGATTGACCGAGAAGCAATATGAGAACTATTGTAAGGGGGGATGGAACATAAGTCAAGGGGCAGGCAAGGAAGATATCAAGCTTCGAGATGTTGGGCAGAGAATACTTGATGCTACGCTATCCTTCAAAGATATCATCAGCAAAGTTGCAGTTTTTGATCCTACTGGCCATGCATCAAGTGCTTGGGGAATTGTATCACTTGGATTGACAGTATGTTTGCTAGGCTGTTATAAGGATCGAGCAAGCAAGCTTATCAAACAAATAAATAAACAGATGACTCAAAACCATATCAAAATACGAAATGCTCTATTCAAATCTTCCGAATTTCTCACCGATGTCCTCGCTCGCTGTGCCTTCATTGAAAAGGAACACTACCATAAAAATCAATTTGAAACCAAAAACGAGTTGGAAAAGGCTATTATTCAAGTCTATGTTGGTATACTGCAGTACACAGCGCAAGTTCATGCGATGCAGAAAGCTGGAGCAGGATTGAAAACGCTAGAGAGTGTTTCTGAAGTAACCGATCACCCAATTATACAAATACAATCTTATATTGAAAACGACGAACGGAAACTACATCACTGGGTTGATAGGGATCAGCATCTCAAGCAAAGCAAGCAAGCAGAAAATATACTTGCTGGGATTGACAAAATCTTTTTTTCAATCCAAAACCTCCACCAAAAACTTGATCTCCATAACCTACAGAATTCCGAGGGAGCTTCATTTGACTCATACATGGACCAACATGAAAGTGAATGCCTTTCTGGAACAAGAACAGCGCTTCTTAAGCAGATTGAGGAGTGGGGATGCTCTTCACAAAGCCAATGCATCTTCTGGTTGAATGGAATGGCAGGAACGGGGAAATCAACAATTTCGCGAACAGTGGCGAAGTCTTTCCAGGAAAAGGGTCTACTGGGAGCGAGCTTCTTCTTCAAAAGAGGCGAAGGTGACCGTGGTAATGCAGGAAGGTTCTTTTCAACCATCACAAGACAACTTATAACCACAATCCCTCAGCTCGCGCCTGACGTCTCAAAAGCCATTGTGGCTGATCCTGATATTTCCACAAAGTCACTTAGGGATCAGTTTCATAAACTGCTGCTTCAGCCTCTACACAATCTGGATCTGGATGATCAGACTACTCCTGTGATCGTGATTGATGCATTGGATGAATGTGACGGAGATAAAGATATACAACTTTTATTACAACTCTTCCCACAAGTGCAGAAGTCAAATTCTGTTCAGCTACGGGTCTTTGTGACCAGCCGCCCCGAACTACCGATACAACTAGGTTTCCAGGATGCCGAAGTCAGAGGCAACCATCGCGATTTAGTTCTCCATGAGATACCGAATCCAGTGATCAAGGATGACATATCCTTATTCCTGAAGCACAAACTCAAAAAAATCAAGGAGCAAAGATCACTACCTGAAAACTGGCTAGAAGATTCTGATGTCCAGACTCTTGTTACAATGTCTGTTCCATTGTTCATCTTTGCAGCCACTGTGTGCCGTGTATTTGAGGACTATGATCTGGACCCTGTGAAAAGCCTTGCTGAGATCTTGGAGTATCAGAGTGAAGAATCTAAGCTTGATGGAACATATCTTCCAGTCCTAAATAGACTTTCTGCCAATCATGGGGAGAAAAGGAAAAGAGAACTGGTTAAAGAATTTCAAGACGTGGTTGGTACAATTATTATTCTTGAGAGTCCGCTTTCAATTATTTCCCTCTCAAAGCTCCTTGGTATCCCCAAAGGATTGATTAATACCCGGTTGAATCGACTACACTCAGTCCTCCAAATACCAGATCATGAGACTATGCCTGTCAGGCTTTTCCACTTGTCATTCCGAGAGTTCCTCCTTGATACGAACACACGTGAAAAGACTCCATTTTGGATAGATGAGAAAGAGATGCATCAAAAGATTGCAGTTCAGTGCCTGACAGTCATGTTTCGCTGCCTGAAAAAGAATATGTGCAACCTGGAAAGTGAAGGTATGCAGCGAACAGAGATTGATAGAGATTCTATCAATAGGTTCATACCACCAGAACTGCAATACTCTTGCCGATATTGGACACAGCATCTAGCACAGGGCAAGGATCCAATATCTAAGATGGATAATGCTTTTTTATTTCTGCAAGAGCATTTTCTTCACTGGGCTGAAGTGATGTGCATTCTAGGTTATGCATCTGAGATTGTGCAAGGAATTGAGAGGTTGCAGTCACTCATACATGTAAGTTCCCAACAAGGATTCTCAGTTAGTGTTTATGAGTATAAATACTAACAGATACAGAATAATGCAAGCTCTGAATTATCAGAATTCCTCCATGATACAAGACGATTCATGATGAAATATCGACACATAGCTGACAGTGCGCCCCTTCAACTATATTGTTCAGGGCTGATATTTGCTCCATCGAAATCAATTGTCAGAGAGACATTTGGTACAGAGATGCCTAAATGGATATGTAGATTACCAACGGTCGAAGAATTTTGGAATGCAGAATTAGAGACCCTTGAGGGCCATAATGGCTGGGTCAACTCAGTGACATTCTCACAGGATGGGCGATGGCTGGCTTCCGGCTCCTATGATGACACCATCAAGCTCTGGGACCCGGT